CTCCCCAATGAGAACAGGACAAATCAACAATTGACAATGACTAATTAATACTAAAATCTGTAGCATATTGTATTGTTTGGAGTTTAGTCTGTTACTGTTGCTAGTTTTACCATTTCTTCTTGGATCGACTGTAACCCACATAATTTCCTTAGAGATTAATAAAGTATTCTGATTCTGATTGTTTCAGGATACATGAGCTGCCATTATCCAATCACACATCTGCTTACCTGTATCTTTTGCTCGTTTCTCCTTCTCCTCTTTTCTATTTTTTTCTAAACAGAGCACCTGATGGCTTTGAACTTTTCTTGTCCATCTTCCATTGATTTTCATTTTGCACTCCAATATGAACACCCATCTCTCAACCCGAGGATCACCACAACATAACCTAACAGACCTACACCTTAGTTCACAGGTTCACTTTGTCTAGGGTGCATTTCTGAGATTTCACACAACCCAGGATTCAAATCATGAATACATAATGGTCTTGGATTTACAACATTATAAATGAAATGTGCTCTATTTGGAAGCAGCCGGCCTTTTCGACGGCTTGTGTGAGACTTTAAATCATCAAACTGTAAATTTTAAATTGTTATTGATCCCTTTACCTCTAGTCCTAAAGCGTATATTTATTTTCTTACTCTTCTTATATATATTGTTTTTTACTTGCACTGCTGTAACTGGAGCCTCGTCGTCTCGTCTCTCTATATATTGGATTGTATGTAGCGGAGATGACAATAAAGTTTACTTTGACTTCGGCAGCAAGCAGGCGCACCGAGGGCTCTAGCGCTCACTTTTCGCGTATAGAATTTCGAAAAAACATCAGTGCAAATTATAAGTCTGTATTATAATGTCTGGTGTTTTCGTGTTTGTTGCTTTGTTTTTATTTTGTTTTATTTTGCAAGTTGGTTATTAGATGCTGCTCCAGCCGGTCAGTGAATCCCCCGCCGCCCGCCTCTCTCCCTGCGCCGCAAGCAGCAGGCGCACCTCGCAAACGAAGGGCGCCCTTACTCCCCGCAAATGGGCGATAGAAAACCGATCGGTGCGTATGCCATTCCCAATGTGTGCTGGCTGACGTCGGGGGAGCTTGAGTACAAGCATTTTTTTTGGCCAATGCCCGTTATGCCGCCCAATCAATCAGATGAACTCCTAATACCAACCAAACGCTTATGAACACATAAAAGCTTTCAGCTGGTGTTTCTCTAACTAAGTAACGAACAGCTGGAAAAATGAGAGAAGTGGGAAGTGATGATTTACTTGCTCTCTGTTGCCAAATGACTAATGTTAGCAGAATTAAATTCTTGCAGTGATTAGATTAATACTGGCAAAGCACTTTTTTCAAAATTAACTAAAAAAAAGCATGCCTTTAAAAACACATCTGATAATGTATTAATATTTTAAAATTGTATTATATTTTACTTAAAACTACATTATACAAGCATTTCACATATCAGTACATGCAAGTGTCCACTTTGTGGCAGCACTTCTTCACCACTATGTTGTCACTGTTGCATATATATTATACCTGCACATTGTTACTGCTCTTTTGAAACAGATGCCTCCCAAAACAAATATTTTTAATCAACTATTTGCTCAAATTACAAGATATTCAGATATTCTTGTGTATTATGCTTTTGGTCCCTACCAAGAACTAACGCACATTGTTACTGCTCTTTTGAAACAGATGCCTCCCAAAACAAATATTTTTAATCAACTATTTGCTCAAATTACCACAGATATTCAGATATTCTTGTGTATTATGCTTTTGGTCCCTACCAAGAACTAACTCCCCAGTTCTTGACTGTTGTTTATTTTTGTTCCTTTTTTTTCTGGCAGCTTGGTCCTTCAAGCTGGATCTCAACATTTCCCCCACTCACCTCGGGAACATGACTGAGACCGTGCATACGGGAGTCTGGGGCTCCACCCCAGTATTGGGGTTAGAAGTGCTGTTTCAGAATGTAGAGAGCGGGAGCTAGAGGCAACTGAAAGAGTGACGAGAATCATAAACTAGAGGAGCAACTAGAATTGGGAGCAAGTGGCCTGGGACCTCGAAAAGGAAACCTCACACGGAAAATAAGATAGGCCTGCTACTAGAATCCTAGAATCTGACTTTTCTAGACTTTTCTAAGAGAGACTAGTCATTTAAAAGGGTGTGATCAAAGCCCAATGATCAAACACCACTTGTTGTAGAGACCCACCTTTTAGCACATCCCAGCACACCCACTCACTTCACCAGATGCACCTTGTTTAGTTCTCTCACCTTTGATTGGGTGTGGTGCTTGTCCTTAATTGCACTCACCTGTCACACATTATATAAGGACTGCATTCACTTTTGGCTCACTTTTTCTTCACTCCCACATGGAGCGGCAGCAGAGCAATGGCAGTCCATGTGTGTCCTTCCTTCCTTCCTTCCTTCCTTCCTTCCTTCCTTCCTTTATTGATTTGGAGAATAAAAGGAAAACCCTGTGAATGATTAGATGACTGCTTATTCTTATTCTAATCGGATGAGCCCATGATGCTGATTACTTAAGCCCTGAGCCTTCCTTCCTTCAAAACACCACTGATCAAAGCCCACTGATCAATGGCCACGAGTACCATTCACAGAGAGTTGGGGAATGACTGCAATCACAGCATTGTAAGATGGCGAAAGATGTACCCTTAGGCCCCCACCTCGATTCAGAGATGGTCTTTCCCTTTTCACGTAAATAGCCTCCAGAGGAACCAGTGTTCCTCTGGTTTGAGCGCTGGCCTGTGTGGACTCCTAGCCTGACGAGTTAGCTCTTCTGTGTTGTGCCATCTGCTTCACCAGAGGTTGTTTGGTTTCCCTGATCTATAAATCTTGGCAATTCTCCTGGCACTAAACAGCGTACACTATGTTACTCTGTTTGTATCGGGTGACCCGATCCTTGGGGTGGACCAGTTTTTGGTGCAGCGTGTTTTGGGGTTTAAAAGCCACAGAGACATGGCGTTTAGAAAAAATGCATCTCAGCTGGTCCGATACTCCTGACATGTACGGGGTCACTAAGTGTTTTCCCTTAGGCAGCAGTTGTCCTTCTCTCCTGGATCAGCTGGAGCTTTCTTTTGGTGCCTTACCAGTTTTGACACATGTCCAGCTGGGATAACCACATTTACGAGGGGGCTTCTTGATGTGATGTTCATCTGCTTCCCTGGCTGCTGTGGCTGTGGGTGGGGATGGTGTTCGCTCTGTGTTGTAGTGTCCTGATGACACCCAGATGAACAGAATCAATCTTTTGGGATTTACTTACCTGGATGATTGAGCATGCATCAAGACATGTCATTTAAGGGAATGAAACACATGAAAAAAATGTTGAATAACAAAACTGTGATTTCCTCAAATTCTGTTCCACAGCAGGAACCAGGACCTTCAACAGAAAAGGGTGAAGCCAGGAGACTGGGTGTTCCTTAAAGTCATTAAGAGCAGTGAAAATAGTGGAGAGAAGAACCTGGATGTGTCTAAGCCATTGTAAGTCTGCCACACATGTCAACCACAAAGACAACAAATAAAGCTGAGGTAAAGCAACACTTTCAAATGCACTTTAAAACTATCTATGCAATGGAACCTGTACTTGTGCCCTAGTTTATCTGGTTATATCTTTTACTGTGGTTTTAGGCCTAAAGGCAAACACTTTGGCATCAGAAAGTAAACTTTCTCACAAATTCTATAAAGGAGACCTACCCACAGTTGAATGGCACGTGTGTATATATATATATATAGACCCCATGGGGGTTCCAAGAGGACTCCCAGATGACTTTAAAGCACATAACCAGATAGCTGCAGGGTTTTAATCCATGTTCTGGTAGCTAACTATTATTAAAATGTTGATTGGATAAATTAACTGTATTACAAACAACAAAGATTCTTGAATTACTTTAGAGTTGCAAATAAGAGACTTTTGGAAGAGCAGAAAGATAATATACTTTAAAGGCATGTTGAAAGTCTTATCTTCAAAAATAATAAAAATAAATAGAAGCTTAGCAAGAGAAAGAACTCTTACTCTTCCCAAAGAGCCTGAAACAAGAAAAGTGGAGAAAATGAGGAGGAAAATCTTGTCCTAAAGGAATTGCTAGACAATATAAACCCTTGTTTTAAGGGGGGGAAAAGACAACATTATTCCAAACTTATTAGACTATAGTGGGCGGGATGCAGATGTTGAATTCATCTATCACAGGGGTGGGGAACGCCAGGCCTCAAGGGCCAGTGTCCTGCAGGTTTTAGATGTGTCCTTGAACACAGCTGATTTAAATGGATAAATGACCTCCTCAACATGTCTTGAAGTTTCCCAGAGGCCTTGTAATGAACTACTCATTACTACTGATTCAGGTGTGTTGACCCAGGGTGATATCTCGAACCTGCAGGACACCGGCCCTCAGGGCCTGGAGTTCCCCCACCCCTGATCTATCAGAATAACTCTGTGACAGGATGTCACATGTTGGATTTGATTAAATATTTGTAGGTTTCACATAAGACCAAACAAAGTCACAGTGTAGGATGATTTGTTTTCCACCTTCAGTAGCAGGTAATTCAATTGCACATCAGCAGATTCTGCTGATCGACGCCATGCAGGACACCACAACATGACACATCAACAGGAGACGAGCATTTTAATAACCTGATCTTCCTTCATAACAATATCATGCACATCAGTTATATCGTTTTACAAAAATTGACATCATGGCATAATTTTACTGGCAGCTAACCCACGCTGGTTTTGTTTTCCAGAATTGTCAAGATGATTTTAGAGTAACATATTCAGGTGGAAATCTAAAAAGAAAAATATAAATAAATAAAAAGGTCCCATTCCCAGAGTTAAAGATGATTATTGTACTTCAGGTTTATGTCTTGCAAAAATGAGCCAACATTCCCTTCTCTAAGCAATCTTGCCAAGAAACATCTGGAACTTATTACATCATCTGTACCTTCAGTTAGGATTTTCTCAAAGACAAAGTTAGTGAGCTAGAAAAGAAGTACAAGAAAACATTTATTTTCCATTAATAATTTGTACACTTTATTTTAAAAAGACACAAGTGCAATAACAGGGAAAATGTCTTATTATATTATTGTTTCTGAACAAAAAAGTGGAGTGTGCCATGTGAGATTTAGAGCAACAAATACTTCCCTAGCAGTCTGTCTAATTAAATATCCAGGCCTAGTGTGTGGTTTCACCTCATTACAGGCTACAACTTGGCATGCCAACGCACTCAGTACACTCTGACAGCGCCTCAGACAGCAGCTCCATTACAGACTACAGGAACCTGGACACCAGTATCTCATAAGGGTGGAAGTACAATACTGTACAATAGAATACAATCAAACTTTCAAAATAAGATCCCACAGGTTTCAAAGTGTCCGTGATGGGGTTGAATTAGGATTGTGATTTCATGCATGAGGTGGGAAGTTGTATTTTCTAAAATATTTGACCAATAATATTTAAGAAATCTACTATCAGATCAATTTATTAGACATGCAGTTCTTTAAGGTAATCAAAAATGCACCTCTCTGAGAGAATCATACATTGTCGTGGTCCCTCGGTCCTACCTGGCTGACATATCAGGGTTTGTTTTGTCTCTCTCTAGGCTTCCGTTTCTTTCTCCTCTCTTCTGTCTGTTATTGTTTGTTGTTGTCTGTGCTGTGAGGCAGTACTCATTCGTGTTCCTACCCTTGAGTCTACACACCTGAAGATAATCAACCCCCTCTGGCCTCTGATCTCATCATCAGCCATTACTTAAGGTAGTCATTACTGGATTGTTGAACTACCTTGTTAGTTAAGCACTGGCTCCTAGCTTGTATTTTGCTCGTGTGTGTTTGCCTCAAAGGATCCGACATTGTCTTCTCCCTCTGCACAGACCTTCCCTTTCCCCTTCCTGGACTGTGGTGAGTGTGCCTATTTTGAGAGAGTATTGTACTGGAGAGATAATTGAATGTTTTCGGATGCAGTTTCACCATGGACCCCTGGAGACCCATTTTTCCACCTGCACTGTTATTTATAGCATATTCTGGTGAAAACGCTGTAAATAGAATGCACTAAACTTTAAAATCATAAAACATAAATTATCTGTCTGCATCACTAACAGCTTTAAGCATAAGAAAATTAAGTTGTTGTGAACCCATGCTTTCATTTAGTGTGAAACATGTTTAACAACCATTTAGTAAATACAATAACTGAGGCCTTGGTTATAAATTCCACGTTACTTTCCATGTCCGCAGGTCTGCTGGACTCTACTTGAGTCAGAGTGACTTAACTTCAGGAACAGCTATGAGGGTGTGTGCATGGCATCATGGGCCTGCCAGTTTTTTGTCACTAATTGCACATTCACCCCAGATGGCAAACTTCAGATAAGTATGACGAACAGTTACTCAGCCATGGTGTCTCCAGCTCTCTGCACCAAGGTTTAAGTGAATAAGCTCCCTTAACCTTATAGTTAGAAGAGAAGGTTGTATGTTACTTTTCTCTGGTAGGGTGTCCCTAGGCAAATTAGACAATTTTCATTTCTTCCTATGTTGAATGCATAGCCATCTATCATGAAATCTTCTGTCTATTAGGAAGTATCTCCAATGGTATTAAGTCAAGTGTCTTAGTGCCCTAGTGGTCAGTATATTGATAGGAGTTCCACAGAGATATATTTTAAGAGCTCTATTATTTACCATTTATATAAAGAATAAATATGTCATGTATATCTTTACACTATTTTATATGCCACTTGAGAGCTTTTTCTTTTATCTGGACATTGCAAAACTGTTGTATTCTTTTGCTATATTTCAAATCTACCAAGAAGAGGCCAAGAAATCTATCAAGAAATGGAATGCTCATCATTGCTACAGTAATTACAATCGCTGGTCATAGGACTTTCTAATATTAGCTGTGCTTCTTATTGAAATCTGTATTTAAAAACACAAAACAGGATTATAAAAATAATAAAAGGGAAACAATGCATATAAATATATGTATATATATACACTAACCACAAAAATGCCCAAAAGACAGCAAGTTTTTAAGCACTTGAGATACTAAATCTTCCAACTGAGACATCCAGATAAATCTTTCCCCACCTGGTTAGAGAAGTGAAAGGCACCACACTTTTTGATATTTATGTATTCATTTGAATTTCATTTTCCTTTTATAACATACTGTTAAAAACAAAATATACAAATGTTCACAATATGTTGCCGTTGCTACAAGAGATGTCAGGTGTGATAATTCACAGCTTTATAATGCAGTGTTATGCTAAGAAACCTTGCATAATACTCCACGTAACTTGGCATGCACCTCACAAAACACGTAACTACACATCAGCGCCAATGTGTAGTTACACCAGAGGATACCCACAAAGGTCTAATGTCTCTTGTGGAAGCAAAAGCGGGACCTTAATGGCAGGAGGCATGTCATTTTAACATCGTGGCTTATTAGGGGCATTTCTGCATGACAAAAATCAATGCTAATACTTTAAAAAATACCAGCCTAAAAGGCAACATTCCCACCTACATCAGACACACCTAAATACTGGTACAAATATTGCATAAGAAATTGTTCTGAACAGAGGTTTTCACTCTAAGTGCAAATTTTACAATTACATTTTTACATTTACAATTAACAATGAGATAAAAAGAACTTACACAACTAACATTTTACCAATAAATGTATGTTGCCACTTTGTGGCAGTAAGTTTTTTATCACCGTCTGGTCACTGCAGTGACGAAGCATAACACACATTTGTGTGATTTTATCAGGCACTACACATTCATTACCAGCTGGTACTAAAATACAAAGAGGTTAATAGTTTAAAAAATGTCAAAATAGGCCTTACATTCAGTGTATTCGTTTTCTTTCTAAAAAGCTTTTCAGCACGAACGTCTTCATGTAATGGAGGTATTTCAGAATATAAGGTGAGATCAATCTTTCATGAGGCACTAGACTGAGAGCAACTGCCTTACACAGGCATCAAACTGCATTAAAATCATTCCAGACTCCAAATGGAACATCTGTTTAATAAATAGGGTTAAAGAGGCACTCATCAGTGCAAATGTCTTGGTTGCTGGAAGGTAAGGAAGGTGTCTATGTGGCCATTTTCCATCTTTCCACTAACCAAAAATAATGTCTAAATTTTCTTAAACACATATGAAATGAATTGAGTGTCTAACTTCATCCTGAGGCTATAGAGAAGGCACTTAATTCTGCACTTTGCTTCTGTGCTGTTGTCTATCCCTGGGAACTATTTTTCATCTGATTCACAGTCTCCCAGGTGAAGCCTGAGTACCCCTTCAGTGTGCAGCTGCAACAAGCGGTTAAATTCAGCTGGCATTGCATGAAAACTCGCTTTAGCTGGTTTGTCATCATAGTAGTGGTTAGTCAGGGTATAGAGGCCATATGGGTGATTACTAAAGGGCCAGAATCCATACAGATGCACATTTTCACACAATTCCAGGGCCATGCTAACCATAATTAATCCAGTGCTGAGCCGCCTTTCTTTCAGGCCTTCAGAGCTCCAGAATTGAGCCAGACTGTCAAGGTACTGAGGGTTAAAGAAAACAGGTCGAATAGGGCTTTTAAAGTCCTCTATTGTATATGCAACTCGCTGACACACAGCAGTATTTATACCAAAGGAGAAGGCAGGAAGGAGCAGCAGAGAGTTGCCGTACTTGCGAAGACTCTCCACGAATGGAAGGCGGCGTCCCACCAGGGAGCCATACCTGTGCAAAAGAAATAGCTGACTTTGAGCAACAACTCATAAGTAATGTGAGGTGGCAGCAACTTTTTTTCTTGCTTACCTCTGTGTGAAGATGCTTGGATTTGCTGTCACAAGGCTAGTTTTGCTGCCAACATCTTTCTCATATCCATTTTCCAAAGGAGGTAAGTTGCACCTGAACAAACAAAAAAGTAGACACAGGAATGGTTATGTGGAATTTCCACTCTGAATTTGGTCTACATTGGACACTTTTCTCACCTGATAACAAAGTCAGCTGAATCAATCATTTTTCCACAGCTGCTGTCAGACAGGATCCCACCATTCCCAACTACTGAACAAGTGTCCCATTTCTTACTTGAAAAAGGATTCTCCTGGAATAGACAGCGACAAATAAGGCATTATAAAAAAACATTTACCATTGTTGCCGATGTCAAATGTTGAAGCAAAAAGGATTTATATATAACCTTTCCTCTTCAATTCACACATGTTTTCTGTCAATTTAAACTGATACTGAACTAAATCAGCATTTGTTGCTTTGCTGGTTGAGATGCTACTATATCACCTTAGCTTTTGTGGTTTGGTAGCTTACATATTTTTATATCTCTCATTCTGGATTTGACTTTATTTTTGAAACACTTCATAACAACTGACCGAATTGCAGTCGAAACAGAGTAATTAAAATGTTTAAAAAAAATAAGATAACAAGAACAGAAGAATAAATCAGTACAGGTACAAACAAAGAGCAAGAGGTTAAACACAGATAACAACTCACACTGGGTTAAAAGCCAAGGAGAAACGCTGTGTTCTTAAATGATTTTTAAAAACAGCAAGAGATGGAGCCTGCCTGACAGCTCATTCCACATTTTAGGAGGCAAAACTGCAAAGGCTGTGCCTCCTCTGGATTTACAAAATGTCTACGGGACAATCAAAAGCATTTGGTTATCTGATGTAAGAGCGTGAAGGCATGTAAAGGTGAAGCAGCTCAGACAAATAAGAAGGGGCAAGACCATTAAGACACTTAAAAACAAATAAAAGAATTTGAAATGGATGAAATGACTGCATGTCTGTTATTACTATGCAGTTTTTCTGCTTCTCCTTTTTTTATACTGGTGTATACTTTATACTTAGTTTGTATCCGTTTGAGGGGGTGTAGCATTTAAGTTCCTGTTTGTAATACTTCTAAAAACATATTTTTAAAAGTGATGGTGCATTACTTACATATGGCTGTGTATGTATTTACATAAGCAAGCCCCAGCCCCTCCCGCCTCTCTCTCTCACACACACACACACACACACACACACACACACACACACACACACACACACACACACACACACACACACACACACACAAACAAACAAACAAACAAACAAACAAACAAACAAACAAAAACAAAAAACCCTACCTTTGTAAAAATGCTGAACAGCTCTTTGTTCACCTGTAGAGTCCTCTTCTTTTCCCCATCATAAACGAGCTTCAACCCCACTGGAGTGTTATTCTTGGTAATGATTGCTTTGTCAATGCCATTGCACTTAAGTCTCAGATCAGTTCTGGGGAATATAAAACACTTTGTTGACACAGGCTAGCTATTTACCAGACAAACCGGTTCGCAGTTATTAACTGGGAACAGAAATATTGCTTTTCTCAAAATACAAGCTATCTGGATTGTCATATACGGTAATTTCATATTATGCAGTAAATTAGAAGAATGTTTTAGGAAATAACATTAGTTTATTAAAAACATGACAATGGTTGGATCTCGAATAAAAATAAATTTTAATGCCATTATAAGAAATGCATATTAGCCATGTGTCTGAAAGCCTGTGTGACATCTAAGAAAACTGTCAATATTTAAAGTTGATGCTTGTTTAATTTATACTAACAGACATTGCCAATCTAAATGAAACCACTGCTATCGGTCCCTTAACGTAATGCCAAGGAATACCATTTCTTTAATGCTTTTGATTCTCTTCATGTTCATTGACGTGTTCAGTGAAATAGTTCAGTGTGAATAAATAGACAGAGAGAGATGAGACATCAGTACACCCACAGGGCAGGAGAGCATACAACAGGTGAGTGAGGGGAGGAACAAACATTGATCAATATAAAGTTAAACAGGAAAAGGTTAAAAATAAAATAAAAGAGCAGTGTATTACAACACAGTTAGCTTTAGTAATCGGTATAAAAAAATCTTTCTTTCAGCTGTAGGTAACAAATACAACAACAACTCCTGTTAATGTTTTATGCAGCTCGAGCTAATAGAAAGTCTCAGTCACATAGTCTTAAAGAGATATTTACCCACATGGTAAATATCTCAAGTATTCTTTGTTGTGCCTACAGAGATATTATGTCAAAGTCATCGTCCCTCATTGCAGGGCTCCTTTGGTTTAAGCTACTGGCTCACTGACTCCTACATGAGGCTGATGACACCTGATACCTGATAGGCTGATACCTCAATCAAATCTTTGCATAAAAAAATCCTGTTATCGATACACTATTTGAATATATTGTGGTAGGGATCATATTATGCTTGCAGAGCTCATCTGTGACTTTAATTTTATTTTATTTTTAATTAAAAATTTACTCGAGCAGACACACACACTCCTATTTAGTAAAACATTTTACTTTGATTTGTAATTTCTATAGAAAAAAATTGGAAGTGTTTGCAAATTGGTTCTTACCTGAATTTTAAGTATTTCTCCTCCTGCTTCTTCCAGGTTTGATTGTAACGCTCTTGTACCTTGCTAATGATTTCCCTGTGAAACACACAAACACACAGTCAACAGAATCATATCTGCACAGCTGACTTTGCACAGCTCATTTTTGACGATGGCATAAACAAAGAGGTTTCTCAGGGAAATTCTGAGACTGTTATGTTTTCTCTCACTTGCAGCCTTTGCAAATTTCTGAGGGCTTTGCGGCATGTTTCTTTTGAGAAGCTGGTTGGTGAGGCTTCACATGTCTGCAAAAAAACACAAACAAACAACAAAAACAAAGAAAACTGGTCAGATTAAGTAATACAGATCAGGAAAATGCAGAAAAAAGAGATGACATATTATAACAGCATTTCATTGTTGTTGTCAGTTGTTCACACATCCTGGTGTGAACAACTTAGTGATTCAGAGTGACGTATTGTTCCAGTCAGTGTCAAGCACTGTACTTAAAACTTGCTTGTTGTCCTTTTTTTCCAGTTTGTGCAACTAAATAATTATAATACGTAATATAATATAATTATATTACATCATATCACAGCAACTGTTCCTAATTTTTACTCAACTAAACTGATCCGACAACTTAAGTAATTATTTACAAAGGACAGTTGGACTGAATGATATGTTATCCTGGCTGTTATCCTTCCAACCTCCATAAAGATTAAATAATCTTGCATGCAATTGATGTTCATGACTTAAACACTTCTTCGTGCAAATGATAGCCTCAGTTTCCTGTTCCTAGCTGGCAGCAGTGACAGTGTGTGGTCACCTGCTGCTGTAGCCCACCTGCTTCAAGGTTCAATATGCTGTAAGGAACCTTGGAGTCATTTTTGACCAAGACATGTCCTTCAATGCACATATTAAACAAATATGTAAATATGTAATATGCTTTCTTCCATTTGCACAACATCTCTAAAATTAGAAATATCCTGTCTCACAGTTACGCTGAAAAACTAGTTCGTGCATTTATTACTTCCAGGCTGGACGACTGCAATTCATTATTATCAGGATGTCCTAAAACCTCCCTGAAAAGCCTTCAGTTAATCCAAAATGCTACAGCAAGAGTTACTGACAGGGACTAGAAAGAGAGAGCATATTTCTCCTATATTGGCTTCCCTTCATTGGCTCCCTGTTAAATCCAGAATTGAATTCAAAATCCTGCTCCTCACATACAAGGTCTTAAATAATCAGGCACCATCTTATCTTAATGACATTGTGGTACCATATCACCCCAGTAGAGCACTTCGTTCTTGCACTGCAGGCTTACTTGTTGTTCCTAGAGTATTTAAAAGTACACAATATCTCCACTTTCAAGATTAGGCTTAAAACTTTCCTTTTTGCTAAAGCATATAGTTAGGGCTGGACCAGGTGACCCTGAATCCTCCCTTAGTTATGCTGCAATAGGCATAAGCTGTTGGGGGATTCCCATGATGCATTGAGTTTTTCCTTTTCAGTCACCTTTTTCACTCACTATGTGTTAACAGACCTCTCTGCATTGAATCGTACTTGTTATTAATCTCTGCCTCTCTTCCACAGCATGTTTTTATCCTGTTTTCCTTCTCTCACCCCAACCAGTCACAGCAGATGGCCCCGCCCCTCCCTTATCCTGGTTCTGCCGGAGGTTTCTTCCTGTTAAAAGGGAGTTTTTCCTTCCCACTGTCGCCAAAGTGCTTGCTCATAGGGGGTCATATGATTGTTGGGTTTTTCTCTGTATGTATTATTGTAGGGTCTACCTTAAAATATAAAGCGCCTTGAGACGAGTGTTGTTGTGATTTGGCGCTATATAAATAAAATTTAATTTAATTTAATCTTCAGTGTACCCTTTCAAATAAAGATGTCTATAGCAAATACTTCAGCTTCTACACCTCTTTTCAGAAGATAGTTCTGCTTCTGCTTTTTTCAGCAGAAAATTTCCGCTACACAACATTCTCATTGCATTCTCACAGGAAATGCAACTTTTTCTAGTTTTTACTATTACTATTGTTGTTGTTGTTGTTGTTAAATAATGATAAAAAGAAACATTTTATTGCTATTAATAGTAGCTATGTGATATTATATCAAGACTTATGTTTGGATAGGGTTTAAAATATTTAGTTTAATGAATCAAAACTAATTCAGTCCTACCTAAGTGGTAAAACGGAATATACACAATAATGCAACAGCCATCATATACAGCACACCATATCTATGTCAATCTTTGACAGGGGTGCGTTGGTCTAAATAAGGCTTGCTATTCAAATAATAAATAAATAAAGCAATGCATATTTACATTTACAAATTTAGCCACAGTTATAAAACTATAGAATTATCTGTCTTAGATTGCAGAAAATTTGTTTTGCAAGCTGATCGATGAATATCTTTCATTTCATAGAGACTTGGGGGGTATTTCTCAAAGTCTGTCCTGCTTAAGCTCAATGTATGTCTCAGTCCGGGGGTTACGACTGCTGCAGAAGGATCGAACTAGAGTGAAACGAATTAAACTGAGCAATGAATACAAAACTGCATGAATTAGTGTAACTTACAGTTTAAGTGTATCAGCAGAATTCAGCTAAAGGGCCACAGTAACTTTCCTGGGCGAGCCTGGACTCCCGAGGTCCTTAACCCTTACGCTGTCTCACTCAACAGCCTAATATCTAAATGTAGCTTTAATACAAGAATTTTATCATGTCTTTTTCAACACTTAACACCTTTTAATTTTCATATTTCAAAAGGTTATTACATTTTCATATTTCAGATTTGAGGTATATTTCTTCAGCTCCAAAAAGGCTGAATATATTATTTAAATATCTAGGCTACAGGTCCATATGTCCCCAAACCTTGACCCCAAAACGCTGGCAGTCGCATTATTTATCAGAAAACATCATAACAGAAATACTGAAAAAGTCCTTTACTTTTGACACTTTAGCTTCACTTTAAGGAAATGTGCTTAAGTGTGCCTATGGCACACTTATTACTATTTGGCAGATTTATTATTGTTATTATTATTATTACCGTTATTCCCACCCCATGCAGCAGACTGTGACAGCACTGAGCAGCTCCTTCAGTGGGAGACTGCGGCACCCACGGTGTGGGACGGAGAGATTTCACAGGTCTTTCCTCCCCACTGCTGTCAGACTCCACAATAAAGACTTTAACTGATCAAACGCACACATCCACACATGTGCAATAACACTAAGTGCAATAATCTTTTCTGGCATCGTTGTTTTTTTACTCAGTTGTATATAGCATTTGTATTCTATTTTTATCTTATTGTATATTTTTTTCTACTGTATATAATATTTTATTTTATTCTATTCTGTACAGTTGTGTACTGTATTTATTCTTATTGTATTCTAATTTTTGCTTCATAACTTTTGCACTGTCCACTTCCTGCTGTGACAAAACAAATTTCCAACATGTGGGAATAATAAAGGTTATCTTATCTTATCTTATTCCGCTTAAAATTTTGATCACGCCCCACAGCTTTGAGACAACCCCCATATTTATTATACCGTTTCATACAGCTCGATAGGGAATGGTGTGCTATGGGAAAGGGCCTGAAAAAAGGTCCCAACCCAGGCCACTTTGAAGGTCCACCGCTCGGCCATACTTTGTCATAGAAACATCATTTAAACTTCTACAGGTCACAAGACTTTGGACTTTTATTGACCAAATCCATGTTGTGAGTCTGGAGAATAATTTGAAAAAAAGGTCTTTCTCTTCCTTTCCCACCCAAACCGTTTGCCCTACATGTATAATTTATACATCAAAACGTAGCTATCGTTGTCTACTTTCATCCAGTGTCTTCCTCACTGAGATCATATTTACGGTTTTCACACAAATGCCATCAAAGCGCAGCCTCCTCCCTCTCTGTCCCCATAGACGGCCATTCTAAACCTGCTCTCAATTTTCGGTTCAAATTTAACATCAGAGCGTGTCTTTACACTGTCACCACGTCAGTATAATACACTCTACAGGCATGGAAATTTATTATGTTGTAGTCTGGAAGTTCCTACCACTCACAGTGAAAGAATCTTTGTGATCGGACCTACAGTTTTCTCTTGGGAACAATTTGTTTCAGAGTTTAATTCCTGTTTGCCGTTCTCTGTGTTTGACCCCAAATGCAGTGTGTGTGTGTCCCAGCGCCTCCTGCCACTCACACGAGTTACTATAGCAACCAGCCTTAACAGCTATGAACTGATGACTTTTTAAAACTCAACAGTTTTTTCCTCCAACCACATAGATCCTGTCTTCTGACAACTACCTTTGTTAATATGAGCTCAAAACATACTCTGACGAGTAAAATTAAGTGCAAAACCGTCATACCATTGTGAATGTAACCTACAAGCATACTTTAACAGCAAAAATTAAGTGGCAGATCACCCTACCTTTGTTAATAAGCGCTAGAAACACACTCTGACGGGTACAATTAAGTTCCAAGCCATGCTACTTTTGTGAATGTGACCTACAAGCATACTTAAACCGGTAAAATGAAGTGGCAAACCGTCCTGGCTTTATGGATATGAGCTACAAGCATACTCTGATGGCCAAAAGTGGCAAACCGTCAAACCTACTTAAATTTATGCTGGAATTACTCTGTGACAGCAGAAATGTGCATAAACTACTTACGGTAGGACGTTTTGCCAAAGTAGGATGGTTTATCAGAACACCGGCATAGGCACAATTAAAGTTTCTTCAGAAATGTTCGCTTTCTAGTTTCACATCTTTGTTGCTACTTTTATACGGTGAGCACAATCGTTCTTCCACAGCCTCTTTAGTTTTTGCTCTCTAGGCACAAATATAGTTATGCACTCACTTGCCGTCCGACTTGTACCAGATGAGAGTGGTCATCAGGCTCCCCAGACAGACGAGAGTGATCATGAGAGACAAGAAAGACTTCGAGAGCTGTCCCCTCATACCTCTCCCCTCCTGTTAGTCTTTCCCTTTAGAGGCCCACCTTTGTCTGTCTCTCTCCCTCTCTTCCTCCTTGTCCTGCTTTTACCTTGCGCAACACGCGCTTGTTTTATCTACCCTGTCCCGTTGCCTATGTTCTCATATTTCCAAACTCGGTTTGCACTGCCACGAAGTACTTCACAAGCACACACGCCGGCTCAGTGAAGGCTGTTAATCTTTTTCCTCATGCCTGTCTGCTGTTTTACGCACTCATCACTCCCGCCTCCCTCGCTCACTCTCTTCCTGTCTCATTTGCCTCTGTGGTTCAAATCCCTCCCCGATAAATTAAGCACCAGAAATTCAGTCATTTCTCTCTGTCTAGTATGATTTCTTTTCCGCCAGACTGGTCGAGACAAGTTTGAGCCCCTGTGCGCACTTCTGTTACTCTTGTTTCCTCTCGTTACACTTTGGTGGCAGTCAGCCGAGATGAAACCGATAGAACGTTCCTCCACATCCCTCTTAAATTCTCGCCACTTCTGCTTTGCTCGTCCGTTTCTTTATGTTGTCGCGCACCTTTTTTGTCATTTGCTCACACGATGAAAGTCCGCCATTTCTTCTCAACTACAGCTCTGTTTTAGCCCCATTCTCTCGGGCTTCTGTGTGTACTTTCCCCTCCCTCTGCCCACATTGGCTAAACCCCTCTCCCCTCTGCACTAAAAGCACGTAGTAACATGAGTGCCCTGTACTGAATTAGCTCACAGTTGTCTCTTGACTCGACTGGTTCGTGTGTTGGTGAGTGTGTGTGTGTGTGTGATAAGAAAAACGTTCAAAATCAATGAGAGTCAGAGGAGGCAGGAGCCTATGATTGCCCCTCCAATCAGAGGGGCTCTTAAAACCTACCAAACTCTTATTAACGCACACAAAAGCTTCTTTGATTCGCGTGTGAAACTTTGCAAGCTTACAGCTGGTCTTTCTCTATGTAAATAACAGCTGGAAAAAATGAGAGAAAGAGGAAGCCATAATTTCTCACTTTTTCTATGTTGCCAATTGTGTGGTGGAAGTGGAATTAAATTCTTGGAGTAAATCATAATGATGGTTGTGGTAAACTAGTTACATTTATGGGAATATTTTTTCACAATAAATAACCATAAACAGATGGTTACTCCCACACTAATTCCAGTTGTCAGTGGTAAATTTCTTTCTCTCTCTCTCTCTTTCTTTGCAATAAAGGCATAATTCCTACATGCTATGGGATACCAGTTGTATATCACAGCAACTTCACTTTAAGTTTTTTAAGTTCTTTGGAGTTTTGCATCCATGTTTATTATAAGGCGTTTTCTGTTTGGTTTCAGCTGCAGCTCATAGGAGATGATGTCATTTCCACTCAAACACCCCATTAGCTATTTAAGCACATTAAACATTCATAATGTTTTAACAGAGGAGTTTTCCTCAGCCTTATGCAGTCCTGTGCGTGTAAGAAGCCTCAAGTCTCTCTAATGATGGAGGATTGTGTTGTTAACTTTTTATTGTACACCTGTCATGAGTAGTAATGAACAGGGTTGTAGCTGTGAATGTCTATATGTTCCCAAAGCTGCTCTGTTGGATTAAAATCTGATAATTTTGGAGGCCATTTGAGTACAGTGAACTCATTGTCATGTTCGAGAAACCATTTGTGAAACGGCATGTTATCCTACTGAACATATTAGCAGATAATGTACACTGGAACATGGTTAGCACAAACAGGGTGGGGATTTGAGACTTTGCTCAGTTGGAACTAAAGGAGCCAAAGTGTGCCAAGAAAATATCCCTCACATTGATACACCCCGACAGCAGCAGTCTGAACTGTTATACTGTTGATACAAGACGGGATGAATCCATGTTTTCATGTTGTTTACACAAATTCTGACTCTACCATCTTAATGTCACAGTAGAGATCAAGATTTTTCCAATCTTCTTGTCCAATTTTGCTGTTCCTATGTGAATAGTAGCTGCAGTTTTACATTCTTTGGCCATGATTATACTCAGCTGCAGACACTGACGCAAACAGCTGGAGGCTCCAAGTCTGAGTAGTCAATGGCGATGTCAGCGTCAACCTCAATTTTATTTCTCTAGGACATTTCATTGTATGAAGACATAAAGATAAAAGCATGAAAATCAGGTCTACAATGGCTTAAGGCAATAAAATAACAACAAAATAAAACTTTACACAGATAAAATACAATTTAGTGTTCACATACACGCACAGATACACACAATTTTTGACAGTAGCCCCAACGTGTGAGAATAAAAAGTGTTTGAATATGGGTTTTTTAATGTAGATAAAGTTCTAAGTCAGTGGGCAGATTGTTTTTAAGAAACAGTAACTGAAAGCACCCTGAGAAGAGTTTTGCACCTGATGACCTGAGGGTCCAACTGGGTTATAAACACTAAACAGTCAGAGATGCACTCTGAGAGCAAACCACTGAGTTCTTTATGAACTAATACATAGTGATGTGCGGATCGATCCTGAAATATCGATTCCTCCGATACCAGTCATTTATGTTCTAGAATCGATTCTCACATTAAAATATCGATATTTTTTAGTAATTTAGGGTAAATTTGTAGTTTATCATTAACAGCAACACAGTGGAGAGAAACTATAACATTCGGATTGTCTACATTCAAAGGAACTACTTCCTCTTCCGCCTTTCATAGTCATGTGCAAAATACGGCTGTATAAACGTCTCGCAGCCCCTTGGCGCGCGCACTCACAACAATGGCTGAGCGTAATTGTGCGAACGTATTTTTCCTCCACAAACAGCTGAGACGTGGTTTGCGATACATGTGGCAAAAAAGTGCTCCAACATTGAGGTGTTGTGGCTATACTTTCTCAACCGTGAGACCTCAGAATTAGGGAGACATTCAAAAGGGCTGTTGGGGGGTGATAAATACATTTTACAATGTTTATTTATTGGATAAAATACCTTAAATGTCACCGTTATTATTAGCCGGCCCGGAAACAGCGGGGGTGTCGAAATTCAGAGTCTGCTTCCACCTGAGGACCCGCCCTTCACGGTCTAAAGAAAGCCGGGTAGTACGTCATGAGTTCCCTCGGTGGAGTGGAACTGCCGTCTGCTCCTTGCTATCTAAAATATAACCGGGCGCTGGCGTAAACTCTCGACCGTCTCACACTTTCTTTAATTAGTTTTCTGTTTGACGTTTATTCAGCTGTGTGAAAACCCCGTTGGAACCCTCCCGAGGTATTAATAAAGTTAAATTTAATTTAATCGAATCTAATAACTTTAATCTCAGCCAAACCGATTTACTCACGAACAAATAAAACACTGAAATAGCCAAACAATAACATTTTTAAGTTATCAAAGTGACTTATATATCATGTTTAACCCGAGTAGCGAAAGGCAGCGGGGGTTTGAAAATGATGTGTCGATCGGCTCAGATATTTGAAGTTTACACAGCTACATTCTCACCTGAAAACATGTTAAAAGTTGTTTGTTTTTTTGCGACCCAGAAAGAGAAATAAGAGTAATATTAAAACTAAGTAGCTGCCGCCATTGTTGGAAACTGGAATTGGCTGCAATATGGTTTTTCAATTTTGTTGTCCAGGTGGAAATTCGGGAGAATGGTGGCTCCGGGATTCTCCCGGAAAAATCGGGAGGGTTGGCATGTATGGTTGTGGCAACATCACTAACATTGTCAAACACCTCAGAGTAAATCATATCACAGAATATGAGGAGTGTATGTTAAGACGAACTGAAGAGGATGAGAGGGACAGGTGCTGCTAGGGCGAGACAGACGTCTCTCATGGAGTCCTTTAGTGCTGCAGGCAGGCAAGGTGTTCAAATAGCACACAACTTCAGTTTTTTTTATTTCTATATGATGAACTCTGCATTATTAAGTGATAAGAACAAGTAATCTGATGTCCTGTAAATTATTATGACGCTATAATTTGAGATACAATAAATAAAATACGTTTTTGTATAAAGTATCGGTATCGGATCAGTATTGTCGATACCACCCTGAATATTACTTGGTATCGGATCGGAAAGGAAATCAGTGGTATCGCACATCACTACTAATACAGCTCTTCCTGTTGTATTTCTTTGAATTCCACTGCCTGAGGCGAATGCATAGTTCATGCATGGTTCATGATGCTGTTTTGTTTGCTTTAAAGAACAGTAACTAATAACATGAGTGCATCATCTTATCTTTTTAATGATTGTTTGAATTTTTGTTTTTTATTTACACTACAGGGCTTAATAAAACTAAATAACTCTTCAAGTCATTCAGCTTTATGAGATTCATGATTCCTTTGATTTCTTTATTCTAAGAATGAGTTTGATTTCTTGTGACTAAAATGTTGTTTCCCAGTCATGTTTTCACAGTTATTGTAGAAAGATGACCCTAGTATTCCAGTTTTGTTTCCTGTCAGGTTTTATGGCATTTGAGATGCCTGATAAATAGGTTTCTGTTTAACTTTTAGTTCAGAATTGCTGTTTTTCAACTCCTACTTAGAGTTTATTTGTGTTTAACTTCTTTAGTCTGTCTTGTCTTCCTATGGTTATACTTAGGGGTGTGAGTGTGTGTAAAAATGATAAGGCATGCGTCACTGGGTAAATGAGACTTGATTTTTATTTAGTTTAGTTCTTTTTTTTTTGTCGTGCATTTGGTTCTTCCTGCACACCCTCCAAACCCATGATTGGGAAGTAAAAGCAACATTTAACCCAATTTGTACATCAAATACACAGTGATTTCTTCACTGATAGACAGATCATGTGACTCCGGACTCCAGTAAGCAGCTGTAATGTGTTTGTCACAGTATGTAAAACTTCCAAGTGTCAAGTGTTTTGCAGATAGCTGAAGTCCTGGGAAGATAATGTGCATTTACACTTGGCATACATCATGAGGCACTAGCAGAAACATAGGTAAAATGTTGTTGTTGTTTTCCATTTGCATGGAATAACCACAATAAGGACTAGGCCACGACTAGAAAAGGGGAAGCCAGTGTCACTAGGTATCATAGGGCAGTCAGACAAACACTTTGCTTCAGTTGCTGTCTGATTATTCAATAACCCAGACGTCTGGTTTTCCATCATTACAGGCTGCCCTGCTGCCTCCCACAGCAGTCATTAGCTTGTTACAGACAATGCCAATTCCATCCAAAGACTCCATTAGCAATTTAACCACATTAAAGGCAAAGAAGTAACTTTTCATAATGACATTCATAATCTTGTAAAACAACAGAGTTCCTCACCACCGTGTAACCCTGTGCCTGTGTGAAGCCCTCAGGCTCTCTAATGACATAAGATCGTGTTATTAACTTTTAATTATACATATGTCAGGAGTAGAAGGAGAAATTGGCAAATAAATAAATAAAAATAAAAAAGTTCTGTGCAAATTTTTCACATGTCTAAATTGGCTTACACAGGATCAGCTGTGAAGGTCTGTATGTTCTTAAAAATTGGTAAACACAGTTAAAATGTGCATGTGAGAGGACAAAAGCAAATTTATTACAGTTTATTGCAGCAGGGAGGGTGACAGTGGATGAGCGATGGGTTGGAGGAAGCAAAGGATGGAAGGTGTGCAAAGTACTTCCTCCATAAAGTCATGCTATATGCAAATGTAACAAGACAGAGATTCTTTGTTGTGCAACAAGTCACCTTTTAATAACAAATAACTTGCTGGTTATCTGA